AAACTTCAACTGAACTCTGTCTTTCTGCTGATCTATATTCCGAGTCGCTGATCTATATTCTGCTGATCTATATATCGCGTCCAGGTTAACTGTATACAAAGTTCAGGCCGCATTGGACGAAATTTGGCACAGCTCATTTATTTGACCCAACCTATTGAAATTGGTTTTTCTCAATTCGTTCAAAGGGGGCTGTTTCCGGTTAAAGTTATCCTGCTTAGCCCAAGAGTAAGTGGATACAACTCTGGAAACTGACGGGGAGCTTAGTTTAGCCCAACTGTGACAGCATTAACCCTAATGACATAGACAGTTTTGTTAACAACCTAGGTTTGTCAACAACCCAAGGACAAATTGAAAAAAACGGTTCAGATTTAGATATAGCTCCCATATATATTATAGTTCGATTTTATGTGCATTGTGCACCATCATATCGAAATGGGACAAAAATAACGACTGGTAAGTTTGGATCAAATCGGTTCAGATTCAGATATAACTTGTGGTGTGTCCTGGTTACTAGATTTTTAAGCGATGTTTGGGAATTATAATGAAGGTCACAACATTGTTGTCGGAGTCCTGACAAGGAATCACACTAAGGTACACTAATAAAAAGTAAAGAAAAATTCGTTCCGTTTTTTTCTTGGCCTCCGATGAGGACACATCCAAACCAGAGGTTCCCAAACGTATGCTACTTTGGAGTTTTGATTTTTAAGTTTATTTTTTAATCGGCAATCATCTTTCTAAAGTACAAAGTATATTAAGGCATAGTACCGGTAGGCAGGTTCCTCTTAGTTGAAAGCCCTGTAAAGTTAGAGTAAATTGAAAACTTTTAAATAAGAATATAGACTTCTATTAATATATAAAATACATACCTGAACGATACGAATACCTTAGGATACACATACAACGGGCAGACATGCCTTTGTACAAACCTGAAAAAGAATCTGGAATTTAAAGTGGTAAAAATCTGTAAACATTAATAAATAGTTAACATGGAAAAGTAAAGGGAGACGGTAAGGACTCGTAGATCTATAGCAGGTGTGGGAAGATAGGGGTATTCCGTCAGGGAAACGATAAAGAGAGGTTCTCTCGCAGAGCTAATCATATTATGCTTTAATCGCTGCTGTTTTGTGATAAAGCACTTCGCTGGGTTAAAGTATGATACCCTGGCAATAATTTTTTTATTTTCCAATACAGTATTCCCCGCTTAATTGCCTCCACGCTTAATTACCTTCCATGTTTAATTAATTCGATTTCAGAATACCCAGTTATTTTCAGTACAATCCCTTACAAAATTGCACGTTTAATTACCCCCGATTAATTACCCATTTTATTTATTTGGGCCTAAATAACCTACCCAAAGTAACCGTACCTTTAAATCTGTCCCATGTAATTACCCAATGTATTTTTTTTAAACCTGGCAACTTCACTTAAAATGGCTTACATTTGTTAGAGCACTGGCCACACATTTGCACATAAAATTTATTGTTTTGAAAATTTTCGTGAAATGTCTCCCAGAAATACATCTTTGTCTATCTAACTAAAGCTCCAGTTAATATCTCAGACAAAACGAAAGAAAAAACAAAACACCAATGTCCACCGATATTTAATAACTCAAAAATCTTTAAATTTTCACTGAGGTAATTAGGCGGGGTTTACTGTATAACAGGTCTAACTCAATGACAAGAACTGCGGCCCCATAGACTAGCCAGCACCGTCCGTTAGTTGGTTCCGCTTCCAAACACTGTTTTGCACAACGTATTAAATTCAGCCTAGAATATTGCGCTTTGTAAACAATTGTTGCAGATACAAATATAGCTCCCATATATATTTTTTATTGACTTCATATTATTTGTGCACCAAATATGAACTGTTGTCCAATTGAGATTAAATTTTAAATAATGACTAATTTGATTCTGATCAAATTACTAATGAAATAAAATATGGCATACATATGTCGCCGAGGACGTGTGTATGGATTGATTTCATGCTTCGGGTTTTGGGGTTGGCTCTTTGTATCCGTATTCGACCATAGCATGGGGGATATTATGTACTCGAAAGTGTTAGTTTTTGCCCTACAAATCATGGAATACTGAGACGATTTAGTCGATTTAGCCATCTGTTGTAATCATTCTACCTTCGGAGAATATCAAGATAAAAAACTGGAAAGTCAGGTTGGAGAATGAACCGCATTTAGTCATAGCGCTTATATAAAAATACATACCACCCGATATTCAGCATTATTAAATATTCTCTATTGTGACTATAATCAACAGACCGACAGACGGACACGCATAAATCGACATATACTTTTATTGTAATCAATAATGTATTATCTTTATAGTGTTTCCAATAAATATTTCGATGTGTTGCAAACGGAATGACGAATTTAATGTACACTCCACCTTATAGGTGAAGGTATAAAAAGAAACATATGATCTTGTGATTCACCGCAAAAAATTTTCCTTTATTTATTTTTCAAAGAGTTTGTGTGGCTCTAAAGGGGGAATCACATAAGTGGATTTCAGAATTGGCATGCCAAGTTGGCTTCTTTTATTTAAAAATAATAAAAGTGGGTGGGGTGCAAAATCATGTTCGATTCTGATATTCCTTTATAAATTGGTATTTAAGGGTCGTACCTAATTTTATGCGCTCCGTACAAAAATACTCAACTTTTCACCTTTATAGGATTTGTTAGACGTCCGTATTACCCAAATACGCAAGGACTTTATTTGCATCTGTGACAATTGAAAACGGCGAAAATGGATGAAAATATTTTTTAATTGATTGAAAAAGGTTTATACGCATAGAAAAACAATTTTTTCTACTTTCTACTACTTTCTACTTAAAAAAAAAAACAAAAAATTTAAAATACGCATTGTCAATGTTGAAAATTTTCAACTTTATATTTTGATACGCAATGCGTATTTTGGTGACATTCATTGAAATACATGTATTAAACTTTTGAGGTGAATAAATTCATACCCATACGCATGAATTTAGGTACGACCCTAAAACAAAAAAAAAAAAAACATAACATGCCAGATCTGAATCCTCGTATGTATTTCCCCTTAAGAAAAAATAATCTACGAAATTCATTCAAAATACCAAAATACTTCTAAGGGAAGTTTCCCTTGTTATGACTTTTATATGTCCAATATTCCCGCATTTCCAGCTTTTCGCACATTTTCCGACATTTTTTGTTTTCGTCTTATTCTGTACAAACTTATTACGGCCATCCCAGTGTTGCATTTTTTAGGTGCATATTACGTCTCTCTAAGAAAAACGGCACGGAAACGAACCGCTGGCGAAGTCAATTTTTCATACAAGACAACGAAAACGTTCCGCTTTTGCGATACGTAATTGAACCGTAAACTTTAATTTCGAAATAAAAAAATTACACCAAGGCTAAGCTAAAGTAGTACGTTTACGTAACAAAAGCGGCACGTATACGTATCGCTCCCTAAAACGTGCAGTTTCGGAACTGACGTCATTGCTAATAATGGGAAAATTCTGCAAATTTTGTGAATATTTTGAACTTTTAATATTCTTTACATGAACAAGAGACATCAAGCATTATTAGTGCACTTTTAAAATTTGGGATACCCTTTATTTGCAAAGTATTTTTCTTGGTAACTCACGCGACATTTTTGATTTTGCAGTTTTTATTTCGGTGTATGTATTTATAGTCATTAAGTTAGTATTTATGCTAAAAACAAGAAGAAAAATGACAAATGTGGTATTACTGTATAATTTTTGCCTTTACTTCACGTATTTAAGCACAATTAAAGAAACAAATTCTCCAACTTTGGTTTACACTTTTGCCGGAAATGCCCATATACCCTCATTAGCCATAAGACTGAGGGTCCATATGTGGTTCGTTTTCGCTTCGCAAAATGCGTTACTTTTATTTTTCTTAGAGGCCACCCCTCTAAAATTTATAACAACACTGTTTACAGACTATGCTATGCTATTTCTTTACATATGCATACACATTTCTCTTTTTGGAAGGTAGAATTCGGGAGAATTAATTATTTTTTCGATGCAAAAGCAGGACTGTATTTGAAATTATCTGAATTTAATTATGTATGGTTAATCGAGGTAAATTGATCTCGATTTAGTTATTTAATTGAGGCAATGAACATTTATCACTATAAAACTTGTATTCTTACAGAGGATGCCACTTTCGTAAACGTATGATTTCAAAATTATTGACAATCAGAACTTCAAAAATTCAGGTTACGAATGAGATTACTCATTCCACCATGTTTCGTACGCGATCAATATAAAATATTTTCGTGTTGCAAAGGTTATAGAAATTTCGATACGAATGAACATAAAATACACGCATCCCCCGGTTTAATACAAATAACGAACTAATTACGGAAATTTTTTTTATCAATTAATCATATTTAATAAACTATTTCCAGCCATGGATGAAATAACCAACAATTATTTTTAATAAAATTTCTAGAATATAATTTTACACGATTATTTCAAATTGGTTTAGTTAACAATATGAAATCAATTAGTATGCTTGTATTCTTCTGTGTACCGCTGACAACAGTCTACGCAATAACTTTACGTTTTACAAATTTACAATGTCAAGCATTTCATCCAGAATTTGCCAAATTTGCAAAATGTCGTCTAAAAGTTGTAAAGCGCGGTGTGATTTCATTAAATATTAATGTGGAATTATATCAGGTGCCGGTGACAAATGCAACAGTGAGTAAAATTTGACATTCGCCCCAAGTAATCAGCTGAAATTATTTCCAGTGGAATTTATAGGTTAATTTGGTTCTTCACAAAAAGTCAACAATTTACAAACCGTTTCTCTACAATGAAACATTTGATTTTTGTAAATTTATGAAAAATCGCAAACAGCATAATTTTGCCAAATTTGTCTTTAATGTCCTGAAAACGGAATCGAATGTGAATCATTCATGTCCATATGAGGTAGTTATGGAGTAATTTTATTTTTTGTATATAGAAAATCTTATCATTGAATATCTTTTCAGCACAACATTATTGTGGACAATTTAATTTTGTACGAAGATGTTCTTAAATATTTTCCCTTGCCGCATGGTGATTACATGATCCAATTGAAGGTTGCCGCCTACAACGATTGGAAGGCTGATGTTCGAACGTATATAACACTGACAAATGATTTTGGAAAGTGAGATTAAAAAGAAAATAAAAAATTTAATAATTGGGTAATATATCTTTTAATGTCAAAGACTCACTGGGAGGTAAGAATATTTAAAATCTATGAAATATGAGTTATTGAATTTTTCTACAAAAAAGATTTATAGTCACTGCGTGTAAATCCTTCTAGTTGAATAAGTTTAACAAAAGGTTTTGAGTCCGACCGAATACCTGGAACAAGAGTAGTCATATCATTTGAAACCATGATGCCAGACAGAGGCTCATGGGATAGCGGAACACTAACACAAATACCCTACGGCAACTGGCGACACAGATGGCTCCAGGCTAGAAGTAAAAACCGTAAGAAAAGTAGTAAAGTCGGACTGGGCCGACCATATGACGTATGTATCCGAACAATTTCATGTCAATGTTTTCTCGAAGGAACACTGATATGGAATTGATCGAATTTAAATATGTGATCTTTATCTAGAAGTGAACCGACAACATCAATTCCTACACATGCCTTTATGCAACCTATGCTAAATTCCATTTCATTCGGGCAGATTTAGAGTCGTTTGCGTACAATGCACAGTGAGCCAGCAAGGCAAAATTTTGGCCAAAAGTCTAAAATGTTAAAATATTAACCTAAAAATCTGCAGTCTGATCTTAAAAGTTTAAAAAGGCGTATCCAATATGGCGGACATTATTTTCAAAAATCGATCACACTCGTCTAAAATCCGTCACTGGGGGGTTTTCGGGGTTGCTGATTACGAATAAGATTTAAAAATTCAAAATGGCGGATCCAATATGGCGAAATTATTTTAAAAAATTGGTTATATTCGTCTGAAAACTCGAAGGTTTTCGGGGTCGCTAATTACGAATCCAACATCATATTTTAAAAATGCAAAATAGCGGATCCAATATGGCTAACCAAAAGTTCAAAATCTACTAAAATTGCTGAAAATTGTTATTTAATGGTTTCTGGAATTAATTATTAGAAATACAGTGAGCAGCAAAAGTCATGGTACCCCATACAAATAAAAAATATTCAAACAATTATTTTTATTTTATGTATTCACTCCTATACTACAACAATGTAAAGTAATATTTCATTTATTTGTTCCAACAAACCATAAATAAAATCGAGATCGTGTCAAATCTAAATTTTTGCACAGCATAAGTCATGGTACCCCTGGTCAGAGCTGATATTACACATCATTTATGGGATAAAATCGTTTAGTAAAATAGGTGGCAACTATTTAGAGTTTTGTCAAATTCTCTTTTAAAACAATAACGGTACTTTCCACATTTCCAAAGGCATTTGCGTAGTGCAACAAGTGAAAGCAAGAATTTTTTTAAATACCTAGAAAATAACTAACTATTGAAGAGCGAAAAATAATAATTAATAACCATCAAATGGGAAAATCCTATTACGAAACAGGTAAAATGATAAACAGAACCAAACCAGCAGTCCAAAAAGTGGTTAAGCGATACAAAAACGAAAATATAATTGAAAGCTTCCTGGGCCGGCCTGATCGCTTCAAAATCAGAGAAGAACGAAAAATTGAATATATCATTAAAAAAGATCAATTTACCAGCGCTCCTAAAATCGTTGCAGACTTAAAAGAATCATTTGGGAAAGCAGTTTCAGCAGACACTACGTAGGTGCATCAAGAAGTATGGACTTCCAACAGGACAATTATCCAACACTAAGAATTGGATCGTATAAAATACACCACACATGCTGATAACACCTCCACAAATCCGATTGAGCACCTATGGGATCATCTAGATAAACGAATCCGAAATCATACAATTTCCAGGAAGGCCCAACTCAAGAAATACTTCTGATAGAATGGGGTAAAATATCGTCGGACTACGATAAAAAACTTGTATACTCAATGCCCGAACGATTGAATGAAGTTTTAAAACTCAAGGGATATCCTACCAAATATTAGGTAAGTCAATTTAATTGTAAAAATTAAGTAATATTAAATACTTCATTATTTTTCTCCAGTGGTTCCAAGACTTATGCTGTGCAAAAATACGGACTTGGCACTATGCCAATTTAGTTTTATATTTTGTTTTAATAAAAACATGAAATATTACTTTAATTTTTGTAGTAGAGGATTGAATACATGAAATAAAAATATATATTAGAAATTTTGTGAATTACTTTTTGAGGAATTACTGAATTTTTTTTGATTTGTATGGGGTACCATGACTTTTGCTGCTCACTGCATAATGTTAAAATTTATAAATTAAAGATGAATTTAGAACGACAGCATAATCTGTTAAGAAACGAAATTTTTTTAGTACCAAAAAATACAAAATATTTTTTGAAAAATGCCAACATTTTCATTCGATTCAGATAATTTTATTAATTTATTACAATGGACAAATTTATGTAAATCGATTTATTACAAAATTTATACACGCTATTCGGTATTCCGCACTGTTCAAAATTTTATCTCAAACACCCGTTCGAAATATATATAAACTATGTGTATATCTGCACTAATTTAATAAAATCGCAAAAACGCATAATTTCGTGTCAATCGAAAAAAACTTTAGAAGAACATAAATGTAGGAGCTATATCTAAATCTGACCGATTTTCACGAAACTTAGAACTTAGGATTTAATTCAGAATGTCATGCCAATTTTCGTGCAAATCGAAAGATATATAGGAAGTTTGATGCATCATTTACATTAAATCAAACGAAAAATTACATGGGAGCCAATTTCATTTCGTCTTTGGACAAACCGAATTAGCTGTGCCAAATCGGATCATAAATGCGACCTGTACTTTGTTTACAATTTAACATGCGTCCGTCTGTGCATGTTAAATTGTAAACATGAATGAATCGACTCATTTTGTGAATTACTTTTTGAGGAATTACTGAATATTTTTTGATTTGTATGGGGTACCATGACTTTTGCTGCTCACTGCATAATGTTAAAATTTATAAATTAAAGATGAATTTAGAACGACAGCATAATCTGTTAAGAAACGAAATTTTTTTAGTACCAAAAAATACAAAATATTTTTTGAAAAATGCCAACATTTCATTAGTTACAGATAATTTTATTAATTTATTGCAATGGACTAATTTATGTAAATCGATTTGTAGTAAAATTTATACACGCTATTCGGTATTCCGCACTGTTCAAAATTTTATCTCAAACACCCGTTCGAAATATATATAAACTATGTGTATATCTGCACCAATTTAAAAAAATCGCAAAAACGCATAATTTCGTGTCAAGCGAAAAAAAAACTTTAGAAGAACATAAATGTAGGAGCTATATCTAAATCTGACCGATTTTCACGAAACTTAGAACTTAGGATTTAATTCAGAATGTCATGCCAATTTTCGTGCAAATCGAAAGATATATAGGAAGTTTGATGCATCATTTACATTAAATCAAACGAAAAAATACATGGGATCCAATTTCATTTCAATTTCGTCCTTGGACAAACCGAATTAGCTGTGCCAAATCGGATCATAAATGCGACCTGTACTTTGTTTACAATTTAACTGCTGTTAAGATATAGTTAACTTTTTGCAGTTAGCTACATATTTACTTGTTTAAATACGCTTTCAGTTCATTTTTTTAACTATTTGTAAGACAAATTGTAGTCAGGGGAAAGCCACCATTTGTATCTTGCTGAAATAAAACGAGGTTTAAAAATTTACATTGATATAAAAAAGCAATAAAAAACATAAAAAGGATAACATCATTTATTACAAAGACTTTTAAAAATATATTTTGAACAATTGCAGCTTAATAAAAATATAATTAATATTAGTTTTTGGTTTTAAAAATCTTAGGACTACAAAAAAAATAGTTTGCACATGTGATGCTTTACACCCGTCAACACTCTGTAGTAAAGGGTTGTATTTTAAATAAAAAATTGATTAAAATTATTTAATTAATTGTTAGATTTAGCTATTTTATTTTGGATGCACTTAGCATGGATACAAAGCTTTTTGATTATTTTTAAGGCGTTGCGTGGATCAGCATCTACATCCTTAGAGCCAAGGAATCGGCAGGCATCTGTTTAAATGATAAATATGTATTAAAATGTGTACATGGTTTTGGATTTAAATTAGAGTTTGGCAATCTAGTTTACTAATCGGATCGATCTTTCTCGCTCCTTTTCTAAAAAGGAACTAGTTCCTTAATATAGTTCCTTTGCTCCATATAGTTCCTTTACTCCATACAGTTCCTTTCCTCCATATAGCTCCTTTACTCCATATAGTTGTTTTGCTCCATATAGTTCCGACATATACATAGTTCATTTGAATCTCTCTCTTTCATCGCTTTGTTTTTTTTTTTTTTTTGTTTTATTTTTTGTTTTTTCCATATAGTTCCTTTGCTCCAATTAGTTGCTTTGCTCCATACAGTTCCTTTGATCCATATAGTTCCTTTGATCCATATAGTAGAGTTGGGAAATCTAGTTCACTTAGCGGATCGATCTTTCTCGCTCCTTTTCTAAACAGGAAGTATTTCCTTAATATAGTTCCTTTACTCCATAAAGTTCCTTTGCTCCATATAGTTCCTTTACTCCATACTGTTCTTTTGCTCCATATAGTTCCGACTCCTACAGAGTTCCTTTGAATCTCTCTCTTTCATCGTTTTGTTTTTTTTTTTTTTTTTTTTTATTTTTGGTTTTTTCCATATAGTTCCTTTGTTCCAAATAGTTGCTTTGCTCCATACAGTTCCGACTCCTACCGGGTTCTTTTGAATATCTCTCTTTCATCGTTCTTTTTGTTTTTTTTTCGTTTTTTCCATATAGTTCCTTTGCTCCACACAGTTCATTTGCTCTTTATAGTTCCTTTGCTCCATATAGTTCCTTTGCTCCATATAGTTCCTTTAATCCATATAGTTCCTTTGATCCATATAGTTCATTTGCTCCATACAGTTCCTTTGTTCTTTATAGTCCCTTTGCTCTTTATAGTTCATTTGCTCCATATAGTTCCGACTCCTACATAGTTCCTTTCAATCTATCTCTCTTTCATCGTTCT